CTGCCTCTTCAGTATTACTGTTGCATCCTCTGATTTTCCTAACTGAAGGGACCAAACTTCCTCTGGGCCACTGGGCACGACAATGTTTCTCTTAATTAGTTCAGTTGTAACTAATTTTAGTGTATGTGCCTGCTTTCCTGTGGACAAAATGAGAAAAATAACCTGTGTGAGCCAGCCATGTTGAATTAGAAGTGTGAAGTTTTAGCTAGTCAAAAGAGGATGGATTTCAACAAAACTAATTTTGTCTTGATTTGAAAGGAACCTGGTACTTTTCTGATGTTTCATTTCCCCCAAAACTGTTAATATTCCTCCTTATTATGCCTTTTATGTTTGGTGAAAATAATAGTTTCCTACTGCACCTGAGGACTGTATTGTCTCCTGTTGGGCATGTGCAAGGAGGGTATGTTTGGATGGCACATGATGCAGCTTGCTGAAGTCTGGTCTGGTCAGCCCTTTGGATAGGAAAACATCTTGGAAACCCCAATGCCACCTTGAGCTCTGTGATGAAACAGGCGAGATAGAACTTGTACTAAATTTTAAAAGTATTTTCTCAGGGCAACAAAGGCTATGGTGGTAACATATGAGAGCAGACAACTAAACCCCTCAGTTGACGCTGTCCACTTGTAGAGAAGCATGCGTCCTTTAAAAAGATACGTTCCATTAATAAACTACTAGGAGTGGAGTTGTGTACAGCAAAACTTTGGCCAATTCTGTGTTTTGATTACCTGCAACGAACCATTTGGACTCTTGATGATTTGTGCAAGACTTCTGTGTCTTGCCAGCTCTGAATAGCACTTCACATACACTCCAGCTCCTTCCAAAGCATCATTTGGTAGCACACTGAAATCTATGCCTAGGTCTCTTTTCAGGGTTATTTGCTAACACCATGATTCATGAAAAGCAAAACAGCTGTCCTTTTTCTGCTGCCTACATGCGCTATTTTCTTTCCTGCAGGTCAAGATGATTGGAATGGAACAAGGCCCTCGCTCAAGGCCCCTCCGACTAGGCCAGTGAAGGGAGCGTACAGAGAGCACCCATACGGACGCTATTAAAGCATACATGAGGGGGAAATATCACTTTTGAGCAAACAGTTGTTTCTGATTCTTGTATCTCCCAGGATTCCTGTTGCTTTACCCACAACAGACAAGTAATTGTCTCCCTGATTTTTCTCTGGCTCCCTTTTTCTCCCACCTCCATCCTCCCCCACCACTGACCTTGCATTCTGGCTTCTGTATGTAGTATTTTAAAATAATTTAGATTTAGAAGACTGAATTCAATTTTTAAGTGTGTAGATGGCTTTTTTTTTCTCTGTTTAGATATATAAACACAACTGTACCTTTAAAAAGAAAAGTTGAGGTAAAAAATGTTAGTTTCCAAAGTGACATGCTTGCTTAACAGTTATGAAATTAAAGTTTGTTAATCTTTAAGTATTTTTTGTTTTTTAGGCAACCCATAAAAGTTGTAGTTGCAGAATCCCAAAAGTAGGCTACATTTCAAAATTCAGGGTTGGCTTTTAATGACTTAAAATCATAATGTAATGGTAGCAACTGCCGCAGTTTAAAAAGTAAGCTCAAATGTCAACACTTTGCCCTTAAAAGCAGATTGCTTGATTAATCTTAAGTTTAAATGTTAATAGAAAGAATTCTCCTTAACAGATAAAACAGTAATTTTTTTTCTCAATCAGTTTAACTTTTTTTTAAAAAATTAGGTTTGTAACATTGACCATGTGGGTTTTGAAATCTAGCCCCAGTGTTGAGATGCTAGTGACGGACGTTCTCCAGCAAAAGGTGTTCTTGGCTTAATTCTGCATGAAGAATTTTTAAGAGAAGTGGACATCTAGCTGCTCTGTAATTTTTATATTGCTCTAACTGCCCAGTGTTTTGATATTAGGAAGTATTAAATGAATAGCTGTGCATTGTGTCTCTCTCTTTTTTCTTTTCTTTTTTCTTAAAGGAAAAGCTGAACACTTGAGTGTTTGCAGTACATAATACAGCTCAGGCTTAAAATTGGCAAAACTGTAAAGCTTTTAGCCATTCCAATGACATGTTCAAGTGCGTCTCAACACTAGCTTTATGTTAAAAAGGGACATTGCAGCTGAAAAAAGCAAGGAGCTTCATTTTGTACATAGATTTGTACACTGTTCTCCCATTTTGTTCTTGGAAGATTAAATGCTACTACTTGTGTAAGCCTGCCTAAATAGGTAGCTAAAATTTGTCAAGATGTCTGCAGCAGTTTGTCAATAAAGTTTAGTCCTTTTTTAATCAAAGTAAATGTGATGAATTGTCATTTTTTTTTTAATTTTGGTCAAGCAGTAAAATAGATTGTCCTCTTTCAATTAATTTAAATTAATGCTAAAGTACTTGGTCTGTTTTTTAAAAAGAAGTTCTCTTAAAATCCGAAGACGTTTTTAAAATGGTATGTTCTGAAAGTTTTAAAACTTTACCAAGCTGAGTCAGCTTAATTTTAAAACAAAATTGTTTTTCACCCCCTGGAAGTTGAGCAGTTGTGCCAGAAACGGGGCTTCAAGTGGCAGCATCAGTGTTCTGTTTCACTGAAGGGTTGAGACATCTGCTGGCTTTTTATCTTGAGTCTGTGGACAGCTGCTTCTGCACCACCCCCTTTGTAGCTGCTATTGATTTCAAAAGGGCAGAGTGGCCTTCTTGCGCAAGCCCCATTCATTTTGGTGACACCTGCGCAAGGAATGTCCCCAGGGGATTGTGCCCTCTGCAGAGAGGCGGAAATTGTTGATCCAAAAGTAACTTTCATCAAAACAGTGTGACTCCAAAAGCCTTTTTCACAGATAGAAAAGAAGACTTCTTCCTTTTGCTGCATCCACAGATTTCCCTCTCCTCAGACTGCCTGCTTTTCAGGGCGGCATTCCTTGGGTTTCCAAAGCAATTACAAAGTGGTGGCTTATGTAGGGAGCAGGCAGATTGTTCTCAATAGCCCGTTAGGAAAGGCACATAATGCAGCTTTGGCTAACTGCCCACCTGTCCACACATCCCCATGTTAGTGATTTGCTGCCTTCAAAGAAAATCAGCTTCCCTGCCTGGTTGTCTGGAGGAAAGTCTCACTCACTGCAGATGATCAGGTTAAACAGCTGTTGACAAGCCTGGCATGATAGCAGAAGTGACTGCTGTGAAGAGCTGGTGGCTTGTACTTACTCTCCCTTCTTGCAAAAATTTAAAATCGAGTATTCACTGGGAAAGAACTGCTTGGGGGTGAAAAAAAAGTCCACTGTTACTGTCAAATTGCTCATAGCAGTGCATGATTGAGGGAAGCTACTTTTAAAAGCCAAAAAGAGTTGTATTTGTAGATTGTTATTTTAAAAAAATGTAAATAACTGAATTTTCCACAATGGTTTGGAGTCAGCTTTCAGGGCTTAATGTCTTGCTTGATGAAAAGAACGCCCAAAACCCCCCTTTTAAAGGAAAATTATCGCAGGAGAATTCAGGATGTCTTAAAGCTAACATGCACCGAAAAACTCAAAAGGTAACCTAATGTCTGATTTTAATGGCACATTTCTTTTTACATAAAATGTGACGGGCAACTTGCATAAACTTTTATTACTGAAGAAGTTCTTCAATGTTAATTTTAAATGTAAAATCTTGTTTAAAAAAGATGCGTTAAAAATAGATACTTAAAATACATCCACTTGCTTATTGCATAAATTAGCAATAATGTTTTAATACTTGTGCCCTTTGTCATTTGCAATGGACCGTAACCTTGGGCATAAAAAAAAGCAAAAAAAGCAAACAGAATCGAACCTTAAATATCAAAAATGGATGTAGCTAGTCCTCTGTGTTTACCAACAAAATCTACTCAGTTATTCAAGTAAAACTCTGGCCCTTATTGACCCAGTATTGCTGTTCACTATATTAAAACATTTAGTACTTAGGTATTAAGTTGCATGTGTTGGTTTTTTCCCCCTGGAGCAGTGGGTCCTAATTGGTGGTCTGTGGACCCCGGGGTCTGCGTAACCCACCCAGGGAGTCTGTGGCACCGTTCACATAACAAACTTACCCTGGAGATAACAAAAAATTCAAAAGTAAGGATCCATGGCTTAGCTTTTTGAAAAACAGGGGATCCGCAGTACTTAACTAATTTGGGAACCACTGCCCTAGAGTTTTTAAATTGCATGCCAAGAGTGTATCAACATTTGTTTTGATTTGTGAGTCGTTATGAAGATGCTTACTACTCTTCTCTGTTTGCAGGAGGTGCTCTGCTGTTGGGGTGAAAATGACTTTTGCTGAGGACGAGTTGGGTATGCTATTCGGCTGTTTCTACTTTTCTGGTTTTGGAACAAAGAACTTTTGTATCTCATATAAGCTACATTTGCATGACCAGTCACTTCGGTTCAATAAGGCTGTGCTGGCACTTAACTCGTCATTTAGCCAAAACAGGCCAAAATCAAGACAGAAGGATGGGCAAGGCTGTGTACGCAATGGTTTAAAAACATATATTCAGTTTTGACACTATGGGAAGTGTCAAAATGCATAAACATTGCATATTTTGCATAGTTCACTCTAGTCTGGGGAGGGTCAGTCACTGAAGCCCCAGCCCAAATATTGGACATATTATTCACCTCTCTGGCTTTTGAAACTGTAGCAGGCACTTCAAGCATACTTTGAAATCTTCAGGAAGCTAAAATATTTGCACCTTCTGCTTGTTTCTAAGTGCCTGTGGGATTATGCCACACAGAACACGAATACAGCCTGCCCTTCAGGAACTATTCTGGAGCTGTTTGTTCATGTGAATGTTGCCAACCCCAGTTGACACTTGATTCCTTCTCCCTTTGCCTTTATAGCAATTGGCAGGTTCTCCTAAGACAGGTGTGGGGAATTTGTTGACTCACCAGGTGCGTCAGCCCCAGCTTCCATGCCTAACAATCAAGGGTGATATTTGTAATCCTGCAGTTCTTGGAGGCGGGGTCTCCCTTATCTGAAAAATTTGTGACAGTTAGGAAATGAAGTCTTTGCTGGCCAAAGGAAAGTGCCGGAAAAGAAAATAGGAGAGAAATTGCCAAAGTATACAGCTGTGAGGTCACCAATTACCTATGGCCGAACCTCTGCATCTTCTCAGCTGATTAATTAGCATCTTGAACCTTGGCAGAGAGCCCACACATCCCAGCTAAGCTAGACGATCTTATGAATAAGTCATTCAACCACAGTGGCCCTTCACTGACCAATAATGACCTAGCAGAGAACCTAAGCTAGTAAAGCATTTTACATGCTACAAAAATTATATAAATTACTGTTTTCATAGAGTTGAAAGCACATATGTGTGGTTCAGTATGTTAGGGTGTGAACCATTGACTAATGGAAGAGCTCCCTCTAGTGGCTTCAGAATGATCACTTAACTAGCTTGTTTCTTCCCGCTCAGATCCAAAGAAAACAACACTGCAAGCTGGGAAGAAACTATTGATAAAACAACTTAGTGAAACTATTTAACAGGCAGGACCACAGTGAGTCGATTCCGGACCTTTCTGAGCAATGTGCCCAAAAGACGAGCTCCCCAAACCTAGAATGCTGACCCCAAATCAGGCCAGGTTTTATCATGGGAAGGGGGGGAAATTATGAGCCAGAAAACCTAACTTTTCCATTACAATAAACTGAGCAAACAGAATGCTTGAATCTGTCTTCTCCAAACCTGGTGTCCCTCAGATGTTTTGGATTGCAACTCTCATCATCCCAAGCCAGCATGGCCATGGGGACGATCAGAAATGTAGTCCATGGCCCCAGGTTTAGGAAGACTTTGCACAGTGGGATAGTGTGTGACCCAAAATCACCCATTGCAGAGCATAGATTTGAAGCTGAGTCTCCGCAGTTGGAAGCTCTAACCATTACATCACATTGATTGGGTACTTTTTTTGAGAGACAGCATGATTCTTGAAAGATTTCCAAATTGACAGCATGATTCTTGAAAGATTTCCAAATTAACTCTGTTGCAGTTCTTCTCTTGAGGTTGCAACCCAGCAAGACTATATGTGTGCATGGAAAGAATATGTAGCTAGAAGAGTTCTCTTCACCATGTAGGTGTATTACAAACCTATAGGTCTTCAGCACTGCCCTCCATATTTGCTGTGTATTTAGGGGCCCTGGAAACCCTGACCTAAAGGAACTACAATATGAGAACCATTGACATAACTTTTGCAGCATAATTTACTGGTTACATCCTGAGTTTCAGTAATTCTCTCCTATTTTTCTCTAATAGATGGAATCATCAAATACAAGAAGAAGAGGCAACATTATTATGAGGCACATTTTTACCAAGAAGTGCTCTTTGGAGAATTTCTAATCTCTGTAAACTATATGTGTACTGGGGCTTCAAAGACCTGTTTTCAGTTGGTTCAGTTTTGAGTCTGGGATCCTTTAAGTTCAGTTTAAATAATCCTCACACTAATCCTAAAACTTGGAAGTGCTTGTGAAAGAACATGTAGAATACAAGGTACATTTTGTGCTGGCACAAGTTCACTACAACATTCATTGCAGGCAAACATGGCAGTGTTACATCTGTTTATTACTGGACCATGAAGTAGATGAGCCCCAGATACATTATTTGAGTGTGCTGTGGTATTGAGTACATTTTAATAAAGGTACTCCATTTTTTTAAAAAAGCGATTTCATGTTAAATCATTTTAGTAAATTTGTATTATTTCTTAACCTCCCAACACTAGAATGGCTGCCTGCCTCTTTTGATCCATACCAAGGTTGAATTGTAATTGTACAGGTAATTCAGTTGAAATTTTTAATATGCTCAAACACTGAAGTTTTGGGGTTTGGGAAAATGACTGTATGTTACAGGTGTGTTACAGAAATGTGTGGTCTTTAATTTTCTTGTCTGAAATTAATTTTTTCATGGAAGCCTTCTGGCACTGTTTACCTGGAGAAATCCCTGCTTTTCTCTGCAACCTTCAGGGCTAGAAATGAGCTTCTTATTTTCTCCTGTTTTTCTTCCCCACACTACCACAACTGGGTGTTACAATAGTTGCCAGACTATAAACATCTGGTACTAATGTAAGTGTATTCTTGATTCTATGACTATTTTTACGTATGGTTTTTTTTAAAAAAACAACAACAACACAATAATTTAAAAATCCTTGTCTTGAAAGTGAAGTTTACACCCTTGGTGGGTGGGGGGAGAATCTACTCTTTAAAAATTGAGATTCTTTAAAAATACAAAAGGTGACAAGCGTATTTTTGGGAAAACAGCAGCAGTCACATCATAACTGGTTACCAGGTAAACCCTAGATTAACCTCAACTTTGATTTAACCTTACCTTGAAATTATTTACCAAAACAATACGTCAAGGGAGCAGTCTTCCAAAGAGAGGGTTAACATACAGCAGCCTTCTCCAGCCTGGAGCCCTCCAGATTGATTGATTTTTTTTATTTACTTATTTATTTACTGGACTACAACTCTATAATTAGTTTCAGCCAGCATTGCCAGTAGTCAGGGGGTTATTGGTGTTATGGTACAAAACATCTGGAAGGTGAAGGGTAATGAGAGAAGGCAAAGCAGGATTTATTTTGTCAGGTATAGGAGTGCTCAGCTCTGCAGCATGCAATACAGTGCTTCTGACTACACACACAATGCATTTCCTGGTGTATATATCTAAATCAGGAGTGTGCTTTGGTGTGGAAGGTATGGTGACAGGATCTGGAGCTTCAGCATCTCAGTTTAGAAATTGAGGAAAGAGTATGCCCTTTGGTGGACATTGTACCCAAGTTTGTGTCTGCTGCTGCAGTGTGACCTATCCACAGATGCCTACTTCATCAGATGTGTTAAGTGAAACATTGGAAGGGTGCAAAGAAAGGTAACAGATTATGCAAGTGGTAAAATTTGAGGTGAATACAAAAGGCCCCCAGACCAACCTGTTGATGGCACTGACAGCTCTTTAGTTGAATAAAGGTATAAGAAAAGTGAATGGCCCCTGGATGGTTAAATCTATTCAAAGGCGACTGGGGGGTTGCAGCACTCAACTCACTTCTGGCCGAGGGAGCTGGCGTTTGTCTACAGACAGCTTTCCGGGTCAAGTGGCCAGCATAAATAAACTGCTTCTGGTTCAACAGAACACCATGACGGAAGCCAGAGCACACGGAAACGCCGTTTACCTGCTCGCTGCAGCGGTCCCTGTTTATCTACTTGCACTGGTGTGCTTTCGAACTGCTAGGTTGGCAGGAGCTGGGACAGAGCAACAGGAGCTCACTTCGTCTTGGGGATTCAAACTGGTGACCTTCCGATCGACAAGCCTAAGAGGCTTGGTGGTTTAGACCATAGTGCCACCCGTGTCTACAAAAAGGTGTAAGAGCTCAGTGGTGTGTGTGTTATTTGCCTTGCAGGCTGTTCTCATTTTAGAAGTACATAGCTCATTATGGCAGTTACCCTTCCAAGTTCTGGAGTGGTAGAGCCTATGAAGTCTACTATAATGACCCTCAGCCAAAAGAAACTTGTTTCTTAGGCATGCTTTATCAAATGACTGCCTTCTCTCTCTAGCTGACCCTTCCCCTCCAGCAGTCCTATGCTGCCCTCTCATGTATCTATTTTTTTAATTTATTTATTTTAAATTGATTTTAATTCATTTTGCTACATCAAACATTAAAACAAACGAAAGAAACATACATAACACATACACACAAAAAAGAAATACATAAAAAAGAGAAATAATAATAAAACAAAAGAAAAAACATCTCCTAACATAAGATACCAACAAATTAGGTTACATTTACTAAATAACACACAACACTAATTGACTTCCCTTCATCTCGGTTTCAGAATATATTATATGATTTTTTATCTGCAGTTTCTTTTCCTCAAAAAACTCTTTACATCACAAGTGTTATGTCACACCTACTGTGATTTTTAGATTTTTTACCTCTGTTTCCATGTATGTCATAAATTTATTCCATTCTTTGTTAAACTTTATGTCTTTTTGATTTCTTATTTTCTGTGTCATTTTTGCCAATTCTAAATAATCAAATAGTTTGGATTGCCACTCGTTTATAGTTGGGATTTTTGATGTCTTCCAGTTCTGCGCTATTAGAGTTCTAGCAGCCACTGTCGCGTACTGAAAGTGTTTGATCTTCCTTTTTTATTTCCTCTCCAATTATCCCCAGCAAAAAGGCTTCGGTTTTTTTTATAAAGGTATATTTAAAGATTTTTTTTAGTTCATTGTAAATAGATTCCCAGAATTTTTTGATAGGCTCACACAACCACCACATATGATAAAAATCGCCCTCCTTGATCTTACACTTCCAACATAATTTATCACCAGTTTTATATATTTTTTCCAATTTTACGGGCGTTACGTACCACCTGTACATCATTTTATACATATTTTCCCTGAGTTTTGTGCATGCCGAGAATCTCATACCTTTGTTCCATAATGCCTTCCATTTGTCAAACACTATATTATGTCCGAAGTCCATTGCCCATCTCACCATTACCTCCTTTACTTCTTCATCCTTGGTGTCCCATTCAAGTAACAGGCTGTACATTTTCGATAGGAGTTTTGTTTTATTTTCTAATATTTCAATCTGGAATCTAGATTTTTTCTCACTTATCCCATTCTTTTTATCTTCAGTCCATATAGAATTAATTTGGTGAAATTGGATCCATCCTGTCAATTTGTTCTTTATTTCTTCATAAGGCCTAATCCTCCAACCAGTCTCTGTTTTTACTAGCAAGTCTTCATAGGTCCATCTTTCTCCTTCGATGTTTGTTTTTTTTATTGTCAGGATATCAATTGGCGATAGCCACCAAGGGGTCTTCTGTTCCAATAATTTTTTGTTTCTTTCCCACACTTCCAGCAGTGGTCCTCTAAAAATGTGGTTAGAAAAACCTTTATGAACCTTTCCCTTGTTACGCCATAGATAAGCGTGCCAACCAAATCTTATATTAAATCCTTCTAGATCTAACAGGTCTTTATTTTTAATAACAATCCAATCTTTGACCCAACAAAGACACGAGGCTTCATAATACAACTTTAAATTTGGAACTGCGAATCCTCCCCTATCTCTTTGATCTGTAAGTAATTTGAATCTAATTCTGGGCCTTTTCCCTTGCCAGATAAATTTAGAGAGTATTTTCTGCCAATCTTTGAATACTGAGGTTCCCCTAATTATTGGTATATTTTGGAATAGGAATAACAGTTTCGGTAGTAAACTCATTTTAATCGCCGCCATTCTGCCAGACCAAGAAAGTTTTATTCTATTCCAAGTATCTAAGTCCTTCCTTATTTCTTTCCATGTGGTTATGTAATTATCTTCCATCAAATTTATATTCTTCATCGTTAACCAGATTCCAAGGTATTTTACTTTTTTAGTTACTTTAATACCAGTTTGCGATTCAAGATGGTTTTTTACCTCCTCTTTCACATTTTTAGTCATCATTTTAGTTTTTGTTCTATTTAATTTAAAACCAGATAATTTTCCAAATTCTTCTAACAAATCTAACACCTTACTAACACTCTCTTTTGGATCCTCCAAAGACAACATAAGATTGTCAGCATATGCTTTCAATTTGTATTCTTTCACTCCAATTTTTATTCCGCGTATCTCTGGGGTTTTCCTTATCTTATTTGTAATTATCTCTAACATCATGATAAACAGAAGAGGTGACAGAGGGCACCCCTGCCTTGTACCTTTCGAAATTTCAAAGGGTTCTGTTGCCCTCTCATGTATCTACGTATTTGTATCTACGTATTGTCATGCTTCATGGATCACTGCCTTGCCGTGGCGAAGGGGCTTGAATGACTCAGAGAAGCTATGAAGAAGAAGAAGAAGAAGAGTTTGGATTTGATATCCCGCCTTTCACTCCCTTTAAGGAGTCTCAAAGCGGCTAACATTCTCCTTTCCCTTCCTCCCCCACAACAAACACTCTGTGAGGTGAGTGGGGCTGAGAGACTTCAAAGAAGTGTGACTAGCCCAAGGTCACCCAGCAGCTGCATGTGGAGGAGCGGAGACGCGAACCCGGTTCCCCAGATTAGGAGTCTACCGCTCTTAACCACTACACCACACTGGCTCTCAGCTATGCCGTGCAGGGCCACCCAAGATGGACAGGTCATAGTGGAGAGTTTTGACCAAACGTGATCCACCTGGAGCAGGAACTGGCAAGCCACTCCAGTATCCCTGCCAAGAAAACTCCATGGACAAAGAATTGGGAGAAAGGCGATGGCAAATCTAGACAACATCTTAAAAAGTAGAGACATCACCTTACCAACAAAGGTCCGTATAGTTAAAGCCATGGTTTTCCCAGTAGTGATGTATGGAAGTGAGAGCTGGACCATAAAGAAGGCTGATCGCCGAAGAATTGATGCTTTTGAATTATGGTGCTGGAGGAGACTCTTGAGAGTCCCATGGACTGCAAGAAGATCAAACGCATCCATTCTTAAGGAAATCAGACCTGAGTGCTCACTGGAAGGACAGATCGTGAAGTTGAGGCTCCAATACTTTGGCCACCTCATGAGAAGAGAAGACTCCCTGGAAAAGACCCTGATGTTGGGAAAGATGGAGGGCACAAGGAGAAGGGGACGACAGAGGATGAGATGGTTGGATAGTGTTCTCGAAGCTACAAACATGAGCCTGACCAAACTGCGGGAGGCGGTGGAAGACAGGAGTGCCTGGCGTGCTCTGGTCCATGGGGTCACGAAGAGTCGGACACGACTAAACGACTAAACAACAACAATTGTCATGCTGCAGTTGGTGGTAGTGGTAAGCAAGCAGAGGCCCCTCCATAAATTGTCGTGCAGCAGCACTATTGCAATGTTGTGATCGGGCAGCAAAAAAGGGGGGCATTATTTTGTACTCCCCCCCCCCAAAAAAACCCACTGTGTGTGTGCGCACTTATATGACATGAGGGGAAGGGTTGAGTCAGTGGAATGCACAATCTTAATTGTCAGCACTAGGGTGGGGGGTTTTTAAAGGCCTTAGAAAAATAAAAGTGTGAAGTACTCCTTAGACCAGGGGTAGTCAACCTTTTTATACGTACCACGCACTAATGCATCTTACTTGAGGGTAAAATTTCCTTACCGCCCACCAGTGCTGCAGTAACATGTGCCGTAGAACCCCTTACCGCCCACATGGAATTCTGAAACGCCCACTAGTGGGCAGTAGGGACCAGGTTGACCGTTGCAAAGGAGATCAAGGTGGTGTCCGTTATTCTCCCTCTCCATAGTTAAGCCCCACAATAGCTCTGGCACGTAGGTTCGGCTGAGGAGATCCCGCAATCGGTGGAAGTAAGCTAGGAGCGGTGGCTCTCGATATTGGGCTTCAACTCCCATCCTAAGTGGCTTTTGTCCATGTTTGCCGGTGGCAGCTAGAGGTCCACATACGCATCCTTTCCCCTCACGTAGCATGTGGCAAGTACACAATAGCCGCGGGGGAAAGTGGGGTGCGCGCATGCGTGTGGCTGGTACATGAGGGCTTCCAGCAGACGCCCGTTAGGATCCCCGCAGGGGCGAAGAGGTCTCCGGGCTTCCTCAGAAGTGGTTCACCAGCGATGAGGCATGATGGGAGTTGTAGTCCAGTAACTGCCTGAAGGTACCACGTGGCTGGCGCCGGGTCCTAGAGACGGACATTTAACTAGCCCCTGAACTGACAGCGGCTCTTCGCGCGCTTGAAGGGCCGCCTCCCTCCATCAAGCCGCGCGCTACCCGCCGCCCAAGGAAGACGCGGCCTGAGGCCCGCGCCGCTCTTCCCGCCCAACGAGCCACGTGACTGACTCCGCCCCCTCCGCCAATGCTTTTTCCCCACCGCCCCTTTTGTCCTTCGTCGGATGCCGTCGTCTTCCCTAGCAGAGAACGCGAGGCTCCGCCCGCCATCTTCTTCCTCGCTGCTTGTGGTGCCGCTGCCGCCACCACCCGGTTCCGACCGAGCTCCGCCTGCGGGAGATGGGTAAGGCGGCGGGGAGAAGGAGGGGGTTGTCCGCAGGCTTCCCTCCGCCGTCGCTGGCCCCTCCCGCCGCGTGCGGCCCCCTCTCGCCCCCTTGACGCCCGGCCCATCCGCGCCCCCTGGGTTCCCACCCCCCACATGGCCTGAACTTCCCCGCCCCACCCACAGAATCTGTGTTTCATAGTTTTTTACGCTCGCTGTTTAGCTGGGTGGGGAAACGGGGGCGGTTCCCACTTGTGACTTACAAGTGTTCCAGATAAGACCTGTCACCTGTCCCTGTCCTCGGTCTTTTAAGAATTAAATGGCCTAGCACAAAAGGAAAATAGGAGAAGGAGGGAGAAGGAAAAAGACACACTCAAGCATTTCCCCTTCTTTCTCTCTCCTTTACAGTGGTTGCTCGAAGTTTGGTCTCCCATAAAGGAGGTCTGTCCCTTTATGGCAGGGGCTCCCATTTCTCCCCCCCCCCACCTCACCAACATTTTACTTTTTCTTTGTACACTCCTCTGATTCTTTTCATTTTGGCCCTCTGCTCTTTGCCATTTTGTCCCGTGGTGCCAGCACGAGCCAGGTGCTGTTCAGAGTAATTGGCAAACTATCCCTGCTTGTCAGCAGCAGCTGTTAGTTTATTGCTATTGTCACACAAAGATGCCTTAGGCAGAGCCAGAAGCTGGTCCGCCTAACTCAGTGTTGTCTGCACTAACCGACAGCCCTGCACACAAGCTTTGGCCCACCAAGCCAAACCCAGCTCCTTAGCTGTGGGCAGCTGTCAAATGAGGGGTGTGATAAAACCTTGAGGGTTTGATGCCTGTCTGGGGTGCATGTGGGGACTCCTGGTGACTGTGATCTCCTGGCAGGCCACAATACATGGCTTGTGGGCTATGTTTGGCTTGGAGAATCGCTGGTTGCACAGACCTGATGTATAATGTTAGGAACACACTGTAGCTACCTAGTTCTGAGTCTCAAACTACTGTTAAATGGGCAATCTCAGAAGATGGTGGACTCTCCAGGTTGGATAGCCATCTGTCAGGGATTCTTTCATTGTGATTTCTGCATTGCAGGGGGCTAGATGACCTTTGGGGTACCATCCAGTTCTACGTCTTTGATTCTGTTGGTCCATCCAGCTCTGTTATATTGACACCAATAGCTCTCAACCTCTTCAGTCCCTGTGTTTGAGAACCCACATTTTCATTTTATGCTACCAATTTGTACAGGGATAGTGTTGCTGCTGCTGCCATGCACCATGTTACAGAGGCCCAATTGGCCTCCATTAGAAGTCAGGCATTTTGCATTGCTGGTCCCATGCTGCAGAACACTCTTCCAGCAGAGATTCAGCAAGCATCCTTCCTTTTGATTTTTAGGTGTTTGTTTAAGACTATTTAGTCTTAATGCAGCTATTGGAAGCTTTTTTTGACTTGCCAGTCATTTTAATGATTGTTTTGCCATGGCTCTAATGAAGTCGTATTGCTGTACCCCACCCTGGTATTTCAGCATATAAAAGATAGGATATAAATACATCTATAAATAGAATAAGTATGCCTTAGGCCAGGCCATAAGCCACCAGTGGGTTCTTAAGCACCAGTTGAAGCCCAGTGGTGTACATCAGTGTTTCCCAACCTTTTTCCAACAATGGCCTCGTTCTGACCTTGTTTCCTTCCTATGGCCCCTCATGGGCATAGCCAAGAGGGGGCAGGGGGCAGTTGCCCACCCCATAAGTAAAAATCAATGCAAATCTGAAGTTCTGCCCTCCCCCCCTAACAAAGCCTGCGCCCTAACAAAAATCCTTATAAATAGAACATGTTTTTGTTTGTAGTTTTTAAAATTTATACAAAATACAATTACATAAAATGATAGGAACATAATGAAATATTGTTGAAGCAGAAAAACAGAATCATGGAGCTGGAAGGGACCCAAGGATCATCTTTCTAGTGCAACCCCCTGCAGTGTAGGAAAGGTGCACAGGGAGTTCTGTATATATGGGAGAATTTAAAAAAGCAAGTGGTCCTCACTGACCTGGTGCAAAAGTACCTTATCATCTGAAGGAGCCCTGGCTGCCTAGATAAAACACTATAGCCCCCCACACCCTTACCTGGGAGTAAGGCCAACTGAACTCAGTAGACCCTTAGTTATTTACAAGATGCAAGTCAGCAGCACCAGACGACCCTGCTCAGCTAGGCACTGGGTGGCTTGCACCTTGCAGAGTCAGGGCTCAGGCTGCCACTAGGCACAGCACTGACAGCATCAACAAGCAGCTCCAGCTCTCCCAGCCCTACCCATTGCCACCCACCACCGCACTTACCTGACCTGGGTGTTCAGGATCGGGAGCCTCAGCGATTGCCCTCTCCCGCTGGAAACAAACCAGGACTTCTCCAAGAAAAATGCATGTGGCAAAAAGGAGCGCTAGACCCACAGTTTTTTTTTAAAAAAGAATTTTTTCTTCACTTCTCACTTCCTTCTGTGGTCTTCTTGCCTTGTGCTGTGGCCACTCATTTATGCAATTTATAGCTGTGCTCCCCTTGGAATATCCTGGGGGGCTCTGGGGGGCCATATGCCCCCCAGTTGGGAAACACTGCTGTATACTATCCTTACCAATTTCCACAGAATTTGTTCATTGTTTAAGACGAGGACACAAGTGTCAGATGAGGCAACTCGTTTACTTTTTAAAGTATCTTCTAATCTGAATGGTTCTGACAGTTACAATACTTAAATGAGGATCAGATGGCACTTTAGTATCTTAAAATGTTGTTCTAAAGGAGTTTATAGACTTTAATTACAGGGCTTGACAACCTGATCCCGCTAAGTATGCCTACTTAGAACTGGCACTGCTTCTCTCGAAGTATGTTTTGGTCATTTCTAGATTAGATTACTGCCCTTGAAAGCCATCTGCAAACTCCAGTTGGTGCAAAAGCAGTGGCAAGGGTCTGATGGGAGCCTTATTATGCAAGTATGACACTGGCTGTGTTGGCTTCCAGTGTTGGTGCTCTCAATACAAGATGGTGATTTAAAGCCTACATGATTTGGGACCTTGGTATCTGAAAGACACTGTTCTTGTAGGAACCTACACACATTACAGTAATCAGGAAAGGATCTCTTACGTAGTAGTGTAGGAAGGGGTGTGGGGTGCCCAGGGTGGCACTGGGGCTGCAGGCTGCCTCAGTCACTGCCTCCTAATCCCTCCTGGCCCCCCTCCCAGGCGCCCTCCAGACTTGCAGAATACCCTGAAGAGTGGCCTGATTTGGTCTGTAGGTAACAGCCCTACGAACACATTCCCAATAGTGGTTTGCTTTACCTTTCGTGTTGCCAGATAATAAACAGAAAGGCTGAGGCTGTAACGCCTGCAGGAGGCTTTGCTAACAAGAGGGAAACCCCTCAGGGCAGAAGCGGGGAAGGAGCTCCGACTGGGCTCCTGGGGGGTTTCCCAGAGTGGAGTGGCTGTGGAAGTGAAGCGGGAGCCAGAAATGTTGCACTGGACCTGGAAGGAGGCGACTGGGGCGTCTGCTGCTCTGGAGCGGACTCTTAAGGAGCTCCGTCTCCGGAGTCCTCTCGGTTGGCCATGACACTTGCACCCTGTCAGTGAGGGAGTGGCCAGGCCCCATGTAGCCGCCGCCATCGTGCATGATGTCGTCGAGCCCCTGCCAATCCTGGAGAAGCTGCCACTGCAGATCGACTGCTTGGCCATGTGGGGTGAGTCAGCTCCAAAGGGCCCAATGCTGTCTGAAGAAGCAGTGCAGGAGGCAGGCTTTTTTTGGCCAGCAGTGGGCCGGCATGTACTAGCTGGGTCCCTCCTGGGAGGGACGAATTTGCTTGGGCATTAAGAAACCTGGTAACTTGCTTCAATTGCATATTCAGGCAAAGGGTCAAAACAGCTAGGACCCAACTCAGTCTGATGATGGCTGTTGCTAATAACGAGGGAAGGGAAAGAAATCCAGGGCTCTTGGAAGTGGATGTGTATACGACAAGTCAGTCTTGTGAGTACTGTACGTATTTTCAATTAGACATACACAGGTCAGGTTATAAAGGGAAAGACACAATTCCTATGCACAAATAAACTGCCTATTGAGTTGTGGGGTACAATTTACATAATGACTGGAAAGCTGAAGAAATGCAAATGTTGTTGTATGACAATGGAGTGTTTTGTGTGTGTGTGTGTGTGTGTATTCTTTGAAAGTTTTGCAATTGGTTTCCCACCTTACTAGGAAGCCTTCTTTGCTTTCACTGTATTTCTGATGAAAATTTGTGGAGTTTTGTCCTTGAAATCAGTAAGCTTTGTAGGCGAATTATTCTACTTCATTATGAAGTTACTTTTAAAATGGCCTTCCTACTGTGTTTTGAGAAATGAAAGAATAGTAGAAGACTGGATAATTCCATGATGCTGTGGTGCATGTTAAATAACTTTATCCGGCATAATTTCCTGGGATTTGCATAGTGAACTTTCA